CACTGAGTTCCTGGTAAAGTAGAAGAGTGAACTAGTAAAAAGGTTGGAATTTATTTCTATCCTCATTGTATATCATCAACAGAATTTTTATTAAGATGGCAGGACTGTCAAAGAACAGCCTCTTGTAAGATAATATTTATGAAAGCTATAATCATGTAGGTGATACCTAATCACACATGATTACATAGTCTGGCCAGGAATTGAATGAGGTCAGTGAAAAACAACTGAATTATCACAGTTGAAAGTAATTTTGGATCAAGCCATCATGTGTTGATTTGGTCTAAATTAAATAGAATTTAATTATAACAGGTTTGGGATTTCAGACAGAAAAAAACTGAGAAAGTAAGGGTACAAGTCAGTGAAAACACTTGGACTGGAAAAAAAATAGTCAATTTAATTATCTCAAGGACAGGAAAACTATCAGGACTTATTTTGGGGGAAAAAAAAATCCAAGTAGAAGTTTGAGATTACATAACACAAGCAAAGAAAATAGAAAACTACAACATTATAGAAATTCAAATTACAGAATTGTGTATTGAAATGTATGCGGTTATTTTCATAGAATCACAGAATCACCAAGGTTGGAAAAGACCTTCAAGATCACCCAGTCCAACCATCCACCCATCACCAATAGTACTCACTAAACCATGTCCCTCAACACAACATCCAAACATTCCTTGAACACCTCCAGGTTCGGTGACTCCACCACCTCCCTGGGCAGCCCATTCCAGTGCCTGACCACTCTTTCAGAAAAGTAGCATTTCCTAATGTCCAGCCTAAATCTTCCTGGCACAGCTTGAAGCCATTCCTCTAGTCTTATCACCAGTTACAGGAGAGAAAATGCCGACCCCCAGCTCACTACAACCTCCCTTGAGGTAGTTATAGAGAGCAATGAGGTCTCCCCTGAGCCTCCTCTTCTCCAGACTGAACAATCCCAGCTCCTTCAGCCACTCCTCATAAGGCTTGTGCTCCAGTCCCCTCGTCATCTTCGTTGCCCTTCTTTGAAACCACTCAATGTCTTTCTTGCAGTGAGGGGCCCAAAACTGGACACAGTACTCAAGGTGCAGCCTCACCAGAGCTGAGTACAAGGGGACAATCACTGCCATGTTCCTGTTGGCAACACCGTCCCTGATGCAAGTAAGGATGCCTTTGGCCTTCTTGGCCACCCAGGCACACTGCTGGCTCATGTTCAGATGAGCATCAACCAATACCCCCAATTTTATCTGCTGTATTATGTTAATTATATTTAATATTGATATTTAATAAAATAAAAAATATGTAACGTTAGTAGGAGCCATTGAGAGAGCATAGAGAACAGTTGCCCTCTAAAAATGATTTACTATTGGCTTATTCAGATAGATTTCAGAAACTTGTCAACAAACGCATTCTGTGTGCTTGGCAGTATTAACACACTAGATGGTGTTAACACGAAAATAAAAAGGAAAAGTGCTGTCAGCAGGAGATGATTGCTCTAGACCGGGAATAACATAACTAATTATCTTAGCCCAGCTGATATTCCGGGCTAACTAATCACTGAAATTGCAGAAGGAAAAGTACCCAGTTTCATGGAAAGCAGCTTTCAATAGATGTATAACAAAGACTGCGTGCTTTATTTCCCTCCAAACTCCTTTTCCTTAGCATTAGACAAAAACAGACTGTTCCAGCCCCACATTTTGAGGTGAGTCTGCTTCCTCCTTAGTGAGCACTGTTGAGTCACCTGGCAATCTCACCTGATTTCAATGATGTGGAGTTCATGAGGAACAGCAGTGAAACTGGGTAGGGATTTCTTTGTGCGGGAGGCATTTCAGTGTCTGGAGAAAGCCATCCAGCTGCTGGATGGAAGAGGGAGTAAGTGATTTCCTTAAGCAAATCGTAAGGGCTTAATATTTTCTTGTTTTGTTGTTGTGTAATGGTTTGGAAAATGTTAAGATCAGTTGAATTAATTCTGTGAAGTATTTCACAAATGGTAATTGAAGTCTCTTTTAGGGAGTTGAAGCATCTTAAATTATAAAAGATAAAAACTTTGTCCCTTATTGTATTTCCAATATGCTTTGAAAATAGCTCCACGTTTATTTGTGTAGAATAAGATTATTTTTCTAGATGTAGAAACTATTGAAGCTTGCTCTGTAGCCCTTTCACAGTTAAAGCTGTGACTTCAGTTTTTTGACTGAAAGCTGTTTTCAGCTGCTTTTGGTGTTCACATCTCTGTTTTTTAAACAGGGTCCTAACTGATGTGTCTGGGTGAAATGAGCTTGATAAGGAAGATGGATAGATATAGAATTCCTGGAGTGCAGTTATGGAAAGGAATTTTATCAGTTGGCTCTAAAGCATCTCACTTGTAAAACTACATACACAAGGCTATCTTTTGTAAGTGCTGATATGCCTGTAAGGTGTGATGTTATGCAGTGGTGATGTGGAGAGGTAGCTTTCTGTGCCCAAATAGCAGCGTAGTGATCCTGTATGGGTCTTGCTGTCATAAATGACTAACTGTTCCTGTGCTCTGGGGGTGCTACAAGGTCCAGGGATGCGGGAGGACCAAGGAGAACTGTTGAGGTGCAAGGGCAGCTCCTAGAGAGCAGTGAGTCTCTTTCCTCATGCAAAACTATGTAGGCAGTCCACTATCCTGCTGCAGGGTGGGCTGAATCCTTGAGAGGAGGGGAAAGCAAAATTAGTTGTTTCTCTTCCATTACAGGCAGCATAGGTTACACCTCATAAAAGTTTAAAGTAGATAGCCTCACCAAGCAGATCAGCCTCTGAATTCAAGCTGTAGTGTTGCTGACCAGCTTCTTCCAAGCTGTGTTCCTTACTTCTCTCTCCCCACCTCTGTTTCCTCACAAAAGGCTAAGCAATGTGACATTTACCTGCAGGGTGAATAGTAGTAGAGGTGAATTGTCAAGTTTCCAGTGAGTGTTTGAACATAGAAAAATTTTTGTGCCTGTACATTGTCTTTAGAAAGCTGCAATTATTTCCTCAGGAAATGGTTCTCTAAGTAGGAAACCTGCAGATGTATGCAAGTGTAGAGGTGATAGCAAAGCTGGCTGATACCCTGCCTCTTGTGCAGTGGTATCTGAGCCTCTCAAAGAAAAGCCACAGCTCTGTGAAAGGTCATGGCTTTGCACTAAAATGGTTGCAAAAGGGAGGGAAAGAGGGGACAGGAATATGCTGTTGCTGTCTGTAATTCATACAACTTCTAAGCTTCTTTGTGTGGGAAGAAATGGTTGTCCAACATGCATCCTAAATCTGACAAAATCATAACAAGGCTCATAAGGCACAACTATCCTATAACTTCTAATAAAAAAAAATCTGATGGTGAAACAATGGGGAGACTGATGGCATTAATAAATTGATCTTTCCATGATAATCAAAGCTGGAAAGGAGTATGTGTCACAAAGGGTGTTACACTTCTTGCAACTCAAACTGGATGCTATACTGAAGTCACTAGGACAAACAACTCAGTAAAAAGCAGAAGGTACATGCAAAGTTGCTAACACTTGTACTTCATATGGTGCATACTCACACCAAGATGAGTGAACAAAAGGCATGGAATGGGATTTTTAATCTAATTCCCCATGAGGATGAAGAAATCCAACCTCTTTGTTCAGATCCTTGTATAGTCATCCATACTTTCTAAATAGCTGAAACATGCTGACAGATGGATCAAGAGAAATTGAATATATTGGAGAACTGCATAAACTCACAGGCTAAGCATGAGATTTAGTCTAACGAATGCAAGATCAGCTTGTAATGCAGATGAGAATACTGATTATACTGTGATTACCATGCTTGAGTATTTCAGTGCACATGCCTGCTTCCAGCTGAAGTCTGAAATAGTTTTCTATCCATTTTGTAAGGAATGCCCATGTTTTATTTATTTAGAGGAGTGGTTAGAATCCTACTGTTACATACAATAAGAGTGGGAGATGGGAATAGAGATGTAAATGTCTTGGTTCAGTTCAGAGCCATTCATACTCCTTCCATTCTTAAATAGGAAGGCAGTGAAAGGTGTGGGGTGGCTTACTGGTGTAGCTCTGTCTTGTGCATTGTTGAACAGATCAGCCTGTGCAGAAGATAGCTTGCTCTCCTGAGTCACACCTGTGGCCTGGCTGCACCCTTGCTTGGTGGGAGGAGAATGTGCAGCTCAATTAAATGCAGAGGCTGTAATCCAAACTCCTTGTATCTGCTGTGTGTGCTTTTATGGAGCTGGTTCTCACTGCTGTTAGCACTCTTGATTGGCCTGGGTGTGTTTTCTTCTCTGCAGGAAAACCACTTAGGCTGTGAATAATTTACTTATTTCTACTCTGTAGAGAAATGGTTTTAACTCCCATGTTGGATCTCTAAGATGCAGGCTTGGGAGGTCTGATGTAGCTTGTCTTGACCTTGTGTGGAAAGCAGCATCCGTTACTGGCACGGGTGCCATGTGCTAAATACTCTGCATTGGTGCAGTGACAGAGGTGTGTTCTGATGTCTTTATGTTGCTGTGGTATCTGAAAGCCACGGGCCATTAGTCAGGTGACAGTTTGTGCCTAGATACTGCTGTGATTGATGCCCTATAAATACTTGAGAGGAAAGAGGTGAGAGGGGGAGGGATAGGCAGATAGAAATGCCCTTATTCCAGGAGTTGGCCATCATGTGTATTTGACATAAAAGTTAAGGTGACTAAAAATTAATTCTAATCAACTGAACTCAGCACAATAAAAAAGAGGAACTGAAGTAGAAAGCTCCCTTTCTTGAATTGTGACATCAATAGTAGCCGATTAAAATCAGCAGGACATATTTGGGCATGTGGAATTATTAGAGCATACAAAGGGAAGAGCCTGTCTGAGGTTTAAAGTGTTATGTTAGGACCCAGGACTTGATCACCCTGAGGACTTTTTATGCCACTGTAGTCAAGTCACTTATTGTATGGGAAGTGTTGAGTCACGGCCTGAACCTCTGATTGATCACCTGAGGCGAGCAATGAGTCAGCCAGAGGAGCACAGGTGAAGGCAATCCTAGACCTATTTAAGAGCTGACTACCAGTGGGGAAGGATCTCTTCTGGAGATCTGCTCTGCTGGAGTTTTGTAAATGAGTCAAGGATATGGGTAAGTTTTCCATCCATTCTCTTTTTGCTATCATAATCTGCTTTGCCAAACTCTCTTGTTTATTTCATAATTATAACATCTTAATATTTGTTGATTATACACTTATCCCCTGTTTCCCTTTTTAAACATAGGTAACTTTCCACACAGTTACCTGGTAAAAGGTATTGTTGTTTTTTATAGTGAAAGTGCATTGGCTACTATAATAAATTCAAGTACTATGTTTAGTAGAAGATTCTTGCTAAGGTAAGTAATTACCTGTGATAGAAAGACAAAGCAGCGTTTGTCCCTCTCATGTTTGCTCTGCGCAAGGCATTTAGTGCCAATTATGACCAGATCTCAAAAAAAAAAAAAAAAAAGTCACTTAGAATCAGATGTGCAAGGGCAGTGTTTCTGCTGGTTTCATTTGTGCTGGAAAGCCCTCTGTGTAGGGAAGGGCCTGGGGCTGAGCAGACTCCAACAGCATCTCCTTAAAATAACTCTATCAGTCTGAGATGGGAAACTTGAAACAGATTTTGAGAAAACTGTACACAGTTGTTCAATGCATTTAGGATGAGACCTTTTGGAATAGGTGCTGCCCAACTCAAGCAATGAGTGAAGTATGAGGCAAGGGCCATCCAGGTCCTCTTGCAAAGAAGTGGTAAATTCACTGTTTATTTTACCTTACCGTTTTCAGGCCATCTTTTTTGTGGGGCACAGGCTATTTTTTCTGTTAGTACAAGATGGTTCTGCAAAACATGCCAGTGATTCATAAAAGCCAAATATCATTTTCATGTCTACAACTTCTTGTGTGTCTAAAGGGAGGCTGATGCTGTGTAGTAAACGTTTATTCTTTGATATTTTGGTATTGTTGCCAAAATATGCAGTGTTAGTGATGGCTTGCTCTCTGTTATTGAACAGCTGGGGGTAGTTGTGTAGGGGAACAGTTTGTTCAGGGCTGGTGATTGAGCACCTGGGGAAGGGGTGTGGCTGGATGAGGGAGCACAGGCAAATTGTTTGCACCTGTGCTTTCAGGGATCAGAAGATCCAGGTTGGAGTCACCCTGGGCTCATATGAGTGCCAGCCACTGAAGAGAGCGTATCTCTTGCACCTAGGCTGCTTCCTGAGGAGTGCTGCAGAGCCAGAGAGCGCCTTCTCCAGCTGGGTGAGTTCCACTCTTCTTTCTGTACAAAACTACTGGCCTACATGCAGATACTTTACCCGGCATCGCTGAGAACCTGTCTGAAACAATTTTGCTTCTTTGTGTGCAGGATAACTGGCAAGCTAAATTCTATTCTGCTCTTGACTGCTTTGAATGTTGCTGCTTGATGTTCAAGTGACCTGATTAGTTTCAGGTGCGATGTAGAGAAGAGAAAGGGCTCATGTTTCTGAAAGCATTACAGTATATAAAATGGATCAGCATATAATTCACAGCACTGTATTGGGAGCTGTCTTCTACTATCTGATATTTGATTGCTATATTTTTCTGTGTAAATCGATGAATGTTGTGGCAGATGCCTTCCATTAAGCTTTGCTTTTTGTTTTTCTGATCAATTCTACAGTAAATGAACAAGTGTTTTTCTCTAGCATGTCTACACCACAAAGTCAAAATGGGTTCTCGCTCCAGATTAAGTAAATTAGTCAAAAGCTTAGGCAGAACATGATCACAGCATTGGTTTGGGGGTTTTCTTGGTGTTTCTTTTCCCCATGCTATTATATCTTTCTGTATCATTAGGCTGCGGAGTAGATATTTACCTGGTTTGAAAGGTATCTGAATTAGTCAGCTGCATGTTACAATTGCATTCCACTTTGTCTCCATTAGCTGTCTTACAATACTGTTACTTCTCAGGCAAAGTGTCTTACTGTTGTATCTTGTATTTATGCTTTTTTTTTTCTGTGCTAATTTGATGTTTGATAAATCTTTTTTGGCAAACACATTCCATCAGTTTCTTACTAATGTTGGACTAAGTGCTTTCAAATAATGTTTTTTTTTTTTTTTTTTTGTTAGTAGTTGAGGAACTACTGTACTGAAGTAGCTGTGTCTATTTCTAAGAAAGGAGTAAATTGATCTAATCTATAGCCAAGGTCAGGATTTTCAATCGCAGTAGGTGGTCATTTAGATTGCATTATGGATCAGTTAGCACTACTACCTCTTGAAGAAAGAAAAAATCAAAACCCTTAGGGTACTTAACTTAGGTTTCAGTTAAGAAAGTTACTAGACTATTTTTGAAGGGGACAGAGTGCTAATCCTGTCACAAACGAGGAGAATTTGTCTGCTTATAATATTCTGCAATTAGTTAACAATGATTAGCCAAAAAAGCAGAGGAGGGTACTCAGCTTCTGAGACAGACAGGTGTGTTTCTCAGTGCTACAAAGAGTAAAAGCCTTGCAGTAATTTGTTTGAAATTCTGCTTTTGCTTGAGAGCTGGTTATAAAGATATGTGTTTTCTTTAGCCTTCCTTTGTATAAGGAGAGCAGGGGACCATGTCAAGGATAAGGTCTACTACCTATGTTGTCTTGGCTCACTGCTGTTGGAAAATAATGTGGCTTTGTGTTCTGTACTGCTTACCTTTTGTGGAAGCCTCTACTACTGCATCTTTGCTTCTGGAAGCTTCCCTTCCTGTGTTACCAAGCATTGGGTGCCACTGGCAGGATTTCTTATTTGGAGATAACATTTAGGCAATGCTGTCAGAGGTCATGTTGTTAAGAAGTCTTCTGTGCTCTTCATAGGTATCTCATGGACTTTGGCACATAGTTTTCTTGTGTCCTGTCCTGTGAAGGCTCTTTGGTAGTCTCAGTATAGCAGGTGGCTATTACTTTTCCATTGATGGACATTTCTGTACAAATGAACAAGTCATTCATTGCTCTTTGCAGAAAGCCAGTAGTTTTCTTTGCTATACTTGTATCAAAGTGCTATAAGGAAGCATGAGGGAAGTGAGAAGTCTCATGGAATAAATGTGATAGCTGAGCTTTTCTCAGGTAATGTTCACCCTGACTGTTTCTAGGCCAGGGGAGGGATAACTGAGGGACCTATGCTGTGAATGTGGAGTGGGTGGAATATCTAGGATAGTCCTTAGGCTCAGATTCATGCTAATATAGCTGCAGCTAAAGTCTATTTTCAGGACTGAAATTCCTGGATACATCTACATAAATGCTCCTTATTGTGAAATGTGAGATTTGGCATATCAATTCTACTGTCCAAAACCCAGAGGAGAATAAATGATGAAGTAACCATATCTTATAATAAATCTAATTTTAGCAAGTATTGGCTTGGCTCTGTGTGAACTTGCCAGGAATTTTGCAGGGTAATTTTCTGTCTATCTTAAAACCACCAACCAAACCCAGGCTGAACTTTCCTCATGTAAAAGACATGCACTGGTGATCAAAGGGAAAATTTTAAATATGATTATGCTTTGCTTGTATTGAGTAGCACTAGCCATGTAGACTGCAGTTGCATGGGGGGAGGGAGATAAAATGCAGACCTTGATGTGTTCTTATTAGATAATAACCTGCATTGGATGTTGTATATGGATTTCCTTGTCTTTCTAGTGAGTTTCAGTGTGTAATAGTATAGTGGAAGAAGGAGTAGGCTGCAGAGGGGTAACTACTGTGATCAGTCTCTCAACTCAGTTTTCCTGGGCTTTCTCCTTACTCAGCAAAACTTCAGGTTCCCTGAATCTCTTGTTGAAGCAATCAGCCTCCAAGAACCCATAAACAAACTGAAAAGCTTTCAAAATTAATACTAGATGAAGACCCCACAACTGTCTCTGTTATGCACCTGTCTGACAGAGATCAGATATTCCTTCTTTCCTTACATTTCTACTCCTTTCTCTATGCATGCTAAATCTGTTCTGATGGATGTAACTAGGTATAGCTGCAGTGAGTGAACTTGCATGCTTCATAAAGTGATTTTTTTTTTTTTTTTTTTTTACTATCAGCAACCTTGTCTCTGAATTTCAGCAGCCATCAGTGGTATTTTAAACACAATAACATTTGTGGAAATTTTTATAGGCAGAATGGGAAGAAAACATGCAATACCGAGTAAGAAGACTTGTGATGGTGAAAACTTAATTTTTTAGCTATGCTGCAGCAGTCTGAACCTTTGCATGTATATGATCCATTGCTAATGCTATTGATGCAATCAGCTTCATCAGATCCCAAGGGCCAGAGAACAATTTAATATGTCATGAACTGCTATAATTTTAAGTAACATAGTGCTTATCTCTTGGCCTTCATGATACAACCAGTTTTAAAAGTTGTAAGATGATATTGCATCAGCTCTAAAAATGCATTGCATAATTTAATTTCATGAGTAGAAACTAAAGCAGTAGGTATGTGACTACTTTTATTTGCTAATTGCCTAATGCCCTTTCACAACTGTGCTGTGTGCTCTATTTTGTTTACAGACTATGATTAATGAACTTGTTAGCTCCAGATCTAAGTTTGTATGTAGGCAGGATGCTCAAGTTGACACTGAACTGGTTCTACAAGTGAAAGCAGCCAATAGGCAAGACATAGTAAGGTGGTCATAAACACACCTTCAGTTAATGCTTATTTTTTTCTGTTGTCTTGTAAATTGGATGAGTGTGAATTACTACATATCTCTCTGCAAATGGGGAGGTAACCAATGTGTTTTCTGTGTTTTGTGTGCTGAGTTATGCCTTACAGCTAGGAAAAGATAGCTTAGTTAAGGCTGCCTATGCATGGCATTCCTTGTGTTCAGTGTTTTGCCAGCTTGCAAGAAGGAGCTGTAGTTCCTCATCAGATCAAACATCACAGTAGAGTATCAGTTTCCTTCAGTGTAAAATGTAATTTCTTGGTTTCTACCATTTAAAATACACCTATTCCTTAACACTTTAAATATTGGCATCATTCCTTTGCTTATGAGGACTGGCTTTTATTAAGTCTAGTTGGTGACTTGTATGTTCTGTAATAAAGAAGACTGTGAAATCTGTCAGCAGTACTGTAACCCATGGCTCTACATATGTGACATCTGTTTCACTGTTGTCACAAAATCACCTTGGTGGATGGGGCACTGAAGCAGATGCACTGTGATTACATGTTTCATTCTGGCAGCTGAGGTATGATAGAGGTAACTCCTTGAAGTATCACTTCAACTAACCAGTGCAGTGGGGGCAAATATTTTCAGTCATCACTGACGCATCTGATAGCATGCTTCTAGAAAGGGAAGAAACTGCATATCACACACCTCAGTTTCATATTCTCAGTTACATTCTAGCCTTGGCATGGGTCTTCAATATCCACTGGCTGGCAATCCCTTCCTTGTTAAGTGTATCTGTCCTGCAGCCTGGATATATTCTGTGCTGAGAGTGGTCTCCAAAGGCTGTTATTGAAATGGGCATATATGGCAGGAAAAAATCCTTTTTTATTGTATATACTCAATGCTTTAAAGTTTGAATCGACAGTTTCAAACCAGCTGGCTTTCATGCTTTTTTGTAAGACAGTTTTGCCAAAATACCAACAATGGTCTCAACTGTTGGTTTGGCACAGATGTGTTCACAGTGGTCTTCACAAAACAACTGCAATATTTAGAAAAATGCGCAAGAAACTTGAGCCTGTTAAATACTTTCGTACAAGGCATGACATTGAAAAGATTTTGCTCCATTTTTCAATTTCTCATCTGTGGGAATTTCCAGTCTTCAGTGACAGTTTCTCTTGTTACTGTTTTTTTTTTTTTTTTTTTTTTAAAAAAAAAAAAACACAAGGCAGCAAAAACAGTCAATCCTATTTTAGTAGTTTCAATAGTAATGAAATTATTTTGGTCAATCCAAAAATTCATGGAAGCTACAAATGAGTTTCTTATTATAAAACCGTTCAAGTGGAAAGCAATCTGATCCTGTTTAGCCAAACTGAATTTGCAAAGTTGGACTCCAGAAGAAAAAAACAATAAATCACACATAGTAGGGGTTCTCACACCCAGCCAAAATGTATTTGCCCCCAGTGTTTCCTCTTCTTGACCCTATTGTTGTCATTCTAGAAGCTCCAGGCCTCTCATATGGGAATCATTTGAATTGTCTCTAGTCATCCTAGCATCACTGAAATGACTGTGGATTGATCTCTTCAAAGCTTGGAGAGCTGTGATCTCTATCTTCCAAGTGTTTAGAGAGCACGTATCAAGACGGAGCAAGCCCTGCAATGCCACTTACTATGTAGATACCAAAAGAGAATGAGGCAGGTATCTAGATACTGAAAGAAGTCCTGTGACCACCAGCTTCTTAAAGGATTTTAGCCTCCAGAAGAAGGTGATACCTCGGAAGGAATGAGATTATTGCATGGCCTACATTGTTCTGTTTTTCTAGATCTTTCACATTTCTTAGCTGGTCAGAGGTTATC